CGTTCTTTCTGCTCCATTTGACTGTGAACCTGAAACTGCTCTAAAAATTAAATCTATTTTTTAAAAGAATAGAAAAAATAAGCCTTGTCTGGCGTGGCTCAGTGGATTGAGCACGGGCTGCGAACCAAAGTGTCGCAGGTTCGATTCCCAGTCAGGGTACATGCCTGGATTGCAGGCCATGACCCCCAGCAACCGCACATTGATGTCTCTCTCTCTCTCTCCCTCCCTCCCTCCCTCCCTTGCCTCTCTAAAAATAAATAAAGAAAATCTTAAAAAAAAAAGAAAAAAGAAGAAATAATGTATGTGTCCTTTGTCCTAGGAACTAGGGATTTATCATAAATAAGTGGTTCACTATAGCTTTTTAAAAAAGAGTTTGAAAGAAAATGCTGAAAGATTTTAAGCATCTACCAATAGAAAGTTTTGTTTTGTTTTTTAAAAGAAAAAACAAGACTAAATTATAATACACCCATACTCGTTAAAAACTAAGTAACTGTCTAAGTGTATGAGGTCTGCCTGGCAGAAGTGCAGCCGCTGTTACTGTAACAAGAACGGTTTTCGTGACATCGATGTAACCTGGCAGCCAAGGAGAGTGGACTGGAATGCGCGTGTGTGAACAATGACATCTTCAGTGTACTAATCAGTGTGGGTCATAGATGACGTTGAATGACCATGTATACTGTGTGGCCGTCACATTCAAAATAACTGAGCTAGCAGAGCGACAAATCTGCATCCAATTTTATGTTAAGCTTGAACATTCCTTCATGGAAACCATTCCAATGATTCAGAAGGCCGCAGCTATGGGCAAGTGATGACTGGCAGCTTCATCAAGATGATACACCTGTTCATGCATCATGTCTCGTGCAGAGTTTTTTGGTGAAACATCAGATCACCCCGGTGACTCAGCCCCCATACAGCTCAGATGTGGTGCCCTGTGACTCCTGGCTTTTCCTAAAACTAAAATCACCTTTGAAAGGGAAGAGATTGCAGACCATCAATGACATTTAGGAAAATACAACAGGGCAGCTGATGGCAATTGGGAGAACTGCGTGAGGTCCCAAGGTGCCTCCTTTGAAGGGGACTGAGTGTCATTGTCCTATGCACAATGTTTCTTCTATCTTCTTCAATAAAATCTTTAAAAATAAAAATAGTACGTATAAAAACACTAGAAAAAGCATATCTATTGTAAATAGTGACTATAAGAGGGCTTTAATCATCTGTTACACATTCTGTACTGTTTGAAGTTACTGCAACAGCATTTACTTTTGTAACCATAAAATAACTTTAACCCTGAGAGGCAGAACTCTACACAGCTTCTTGAGAAGAAACACACACCCACAGGAAAGGCTAGGGACCTAGAAATGTCCTCACACATCGGAGGTATTACTCCGAAATCTACACACGCGCCCAGTCTACTTCTGTGTCGAGTCAGAACCAAAGCAGCACGTTCACATTCTTTCAGAACAAAGAAGGTGAACCGAACAGGCTTCTTTCTGGCCTGAACACCAGGGACTCGACCGACGTCGGACGACAAATCACACACCCTGGTCCGCACGCGCACTGTGCTCGCCGTTCGCGGCCTGTGGTCGGCCCACCTGTCGGGGCCCCACGCGCTGGCCCCGCCGAGGGCAAGCACACTCCCCTGACCAGGCAAGCAAGCTCCCATCAGCCCACGATTCCGTCCCTAAGGATATTTCCTAAGCAAATACTAAAACCACAATGAAACTACAACAAACAAACAAAATAGAGGACAAACCTCTGTGGTTCAGTTTGCCACTACAGCCTTCTTTTACGAAAGCAACAAATTAGGAGCAGTCTAAATTTTCAATAGAAGAATGGTTAAATACACTGATATGCCCATGTGACAGACTATCACACAGTTATTATAACATACATGAGGTTCTATCAACATGGGAAATGCTTAGGTCAATGTTCAGGAAGACAATACATAAACATATAAAAAGCAGGTCCTCAAATGACATCGTTTTGTTACAGTGTTGATGCGGGTGGCAGGGGCAGAAACTGGTTCCCAGTTGGGACCACTGTCCATGGACTGTGTCCAGTGTCCCCATGTCTGGGTGGCCTTTCGGTGCTCTGGTTTCCTCCCTCATCCCAGAGCCGTGCACGGGAGGTGAATGTAGTGTCACACGGTCCAGTGCAAGTGTGCGAGTGTGTGCGAGGGGCCCTGCGATGGGAGGGCTTCCTGTCCAGGGCGATCCCGCCCCGCACCCTGAGCAGTGGGAGAGGCTCCAGCCGCCTGTGACCCTGAACTGGAATCAGTGGGTCAGAAAATCATCTTGTTTTTATTCATCTTTCTTAGATGCCTGTATACCTCACATTTACTTCAATGTTTAATATTAGAAATGTTTTTGAGTCTTCATTTAAAAGTTAAAACTACAAACAGGCTGTAGGAACTCACCTCTTTTTTTTTTTTTTTGAGATTTTATTTATTTATTTTTAGAGAGGGAAGGGAGGGAGAAAGAGTGAGAGAGAGAAACATCAATGTACGGTTGCTGGGGGCTGTGGCCTGCAACCCAGGCATGTGCCCTGACTAGGAATTGAACCTGCGATGCTTTGGTTCACAGTCTGCGCTCAATCCACTGAGCTATGCCAGCCAGGGTAGGAACTCACCTCTTATTCACGTCAACTAGCCTAGGGTAACACTAGTTTCGTTATATTATGTTTTTTCCCTTAAAGCTGCAGTCTCCAGGAACCTATTGCCGATGTTAAGCGAGGGCTGACTGTACACACACACATACAGAAATGCCACCATCTTACTCACATAAATATGCACAAAGCAGGGGAAAACATCCCAAAATACTTAACAGTTACCTTTGTACAATGGAATAATGAGTGCACTGCTTCTTTGTGCTTTTCTGTGTCTTCTGAACTTTTGACAATATATATATAATACTTTTAGATTGATTTTTAAAGCTTTAACCATTACAGGCAGGACTTATATTAAAACTGCAAAATTACTTCAGGCAATAACATTATTTAAAAATCTATTAACTTGTCATATTCTGCTCTTTTCTTCTAGGGCTACAAAAAATAAGACAATACTAAAATTAAATTCTGACTCCAAAGATGCCAACAGGTAATACAATTGCAGGAGGCACTAATACAGTCTTGATCTGTAATAACAATCGCGGCTGAAATGTAGCGAAAATGGACACTTAATGAATTCCACCCTCTTGAGAGAGGCGTTTAGAACTCCAGCCAAGGGGAAGAGTCAGCAAACCCGGACCGGCTCCACCACTCGCTGTCTGTTAGTTCCACAGCCCTCTCTGAATAGCGGACGCCATCTATAAAGCGGGGACAAAAACCTCCTCTTGGGGTATTGTGAAGACTAAATGACACAGGAGCGCAGAAAGCACTTTGGCAAAAAGTCTCCACAAATGCTCACTATTCTCAGTATTCCCATTCTGGCCGCCGTAATTTAAAATGGGCATTGTAACCAACTGCAATGTGTCCTGCAGGGCAACGGAGATGAAGAGGGACCCCAAGCAAGCCGTCTAACGCACCCGAGGCAGGTTTAACTGGAGATGGGGACGGCAGAGGAGGGGGGGGACAACACCTCAGAGACGCAGGCGGGGCAGACCGACTCAGCAGAGTCGGGCAAGCAGCCTCCCAGGCAGGCGGACGTCCGGCTCTCCGTTAGGAAGAACAGGTTCGAACGTGGAAGGGGCTGCCTTTGTAACTCACTGCGGGTGCCCACAGCAGGAGAGGGGATACTTTGAGTGCCCCCCACAGCATAGTAAAGGCATCGGAAATTCCAGCACCCTTCCACTATTCTGTTCTCCGTTATAAACTCATCAAGCAACAATTAAGGCAAAATTAAGGCATTCTTAAAATCAGATCATACTGAGATTATTGTTGCTAAATTTAGCATTACTAAGATTAGCTGAATTTCCCATGTTCCGTGGAGGGTATTGTACCAAAACAGGATCCTTCTTGGCCAAAATTAAACATGTTTCTTTACCATATGAGCTCTTTGCATCTTAACATGCTCACGTGGACATTGAGCACACAAGAGGAGGGTGCACGGTCTCACACTCACTGGAGCGACCTGCTAACGCCCACTTCAACACGGCACAACACGATGCGGGGTCCTGGTCAAAGCCTTCCGGCCTCCACCCACAACCTAACAGTTTTCTGCTGGACATTTGCCACTGGTGGCTTTTTACTGCCACGAGCACTGATCGCTGACTTTGGGGTGGCGGCGGGGTGGTGAGGATCAAAGACCCTTTAGAAGATCCAATGTCCTTTCTCCAGAAAAATGCACATACACCAAAAAACTTTGCATGTGAGTTTCCAAGTTCACAAACCACCATTAATTCTATCCACAGAACCCTGCTAAAAAAGTTCTCAAAAGGGGATTTGATTTTACTTCTCTTTTAAGTTAGGAAGAAAATAAAAACTGAAAATGGCAAAGACTCTAGTAATATATTAGATACAAAATTATTTCAGCAGAGGAGGCACAAAGCTGAAAAAGCTAACTCTACAAACACGACTAGTACGGATAGCTTTAGAACCCCTCCCCCTCCAATCCAAGTTAGCTCAGAATATTCATCCTAGTAAGATTTTAAATACATGAAACAAATAGCCAATTCTGAAGTTTTACTTTTGGTGAGGCTAAAATCTTGTATTATAATGCACATTTGACCTTGGTAGTCTTTCGAATTAGAAATCTGTGTCTTTATAAATCTATAAATCCCTAGCTGCATTATAATCTTCCTTCCATTCTATGCCTTTCCTCCTGGTTACTTCAGTATCTGCCTGCATAGCATTTTGAAAAAAGTAGATTGTATAACCACAGATCAAAAATCTTTCAAACATCATGACAGGCCACAGTAAAGAAATACACACTTTCACATTCTTCTAATTATTTGTTTGAAAAATGTAAGAGAAATGTAATATATGTAGGGACTTTTAGCTACGAAGCTTCTTTAAAATTTTACATTAGGTATTAAAGTAAAAAATAAACGTGCTCTAAAACTTACGTTTTGCTTCTGATAGATTCTGATTAGGTGACCAGACCAGCATGCCAAGATTGTCCCGTTCTTGACTGCGTCTTGCTAATTTGGCTTGGGAGAAAAAAAAAGAAAATTCTCGTTATAACTCAGCAGACACATGAAGCAGTGAGCAGTAACACCGCACTGGTCTTTTAGCCCGAGAACACGATGCCATCACCCACCCTTGACCGAATCTGCCCCAGTGCTGCCCACTCACCCCCAGCAGGTGACGGTGGCAGTGGAAGAGGCTCTGAGGTCTCGTGAAACATCTCTACTTCTAAGCCTTTTCCCACCTGACTGTGCCTCACTTCATAAACAGGCGCGCCTGCGGTGGGCGTGATCACCACTCTCACACCACCACACTGGCAGGCCACTCGGCTCTAGGCAGGCAGTCAGGACCGCGCTCAGAACGGCCAGAGGCCCACGGTTCACGCACCGTGGATCACCACGCTCTGCGCTCAGACACGGGGGTGCCCTCCAAAAGGGGGGCCGCCTGTGGCAAGATGCTCAAAGACTCTTTCAAAATGTGAACCCTTCAGGCGTGCTCCGAATACCCTCACCCTCCCCGGCCAGGGCGACTCTTCATGACTTGACAGCAGGCGTCCAAAGGTTTTCAACAACTTTATTAAAGAACAACCATTAAAAACATTTAACTTTAAAGGAAACTTCCGAAGTGCATTCAATTTCTTAAAAATCTTTGATACAAAAGAGTAAGCCAACAGGTTTACAAGTGCCATAAAAAAGAAGGAAATGTTGCCATTTGTGAACACATGGGTAGACCTAGAGGATGTCATGTTAAATGACAGAGAAAGACAAATACCATATGACTTCACTCATACGTAGAATCTTAAAAAACAAATGAAACAGAAACAAACTCAGACACAGAGGCCATTCTGATGACTGCGACACAGACGGCGCGGGGGGCTGGGTGAGCAGGGGAGGGGTAAGAAGCACGAACTGCTAGTTGTAAGGAGTCACAGGGATGTGGAGCACCGCGCAGGGGATACAGTCCGTAATACTGTCATAACTGTGGCACCGGGAGGGCATCAGACTTACCGAGGTGATTACTTTGTAAGCTACATAAATGTCTAACAACATCGCTGTACACCTGAAGCTAATATAAGAAGTATGTACACTGTAATAAAAAAATTAAAAATTATTTTTTTAATTTTATTTTTATTTTTAGAGAGGGAAGGGAGGGAGAAAGAGAGAGAGAGAGAGAGAGAGAGAGAGAAACATCAATGTGTGGTTGCTGGGGGCCGTGGCCTGCAACCCAGGCATGTGCCCTGACTGGGAATCGAACCTGCAACACTTCGGTTCGCAGCCCGTGCTCAATCCACTGAGCTACGCCAACCAGGAAAAATTATTAAAAAATTTACATTTGGATCGCAAATTAAAACCACATGAGCTATCACAACATACCTATTACAAAAGCATAAAATAAAAGACTGACAACACCAAGGTCTGGCAGTAACGTGGAGGAACTGGAATTCTCATGCACTGCTGGTGGGGATGTAAAACAGTACTATCACTTTAGGGAGAAACTCTGGCAATTTCCTAACAAGTGGTGTGCTACATCCATTCAATGAAATAAAACTCAGCAATGAAAAGGAATGAACTATTTAAGCATACAACACGAATGAATCTCAACGCAATTATCCTGAGGGAAAGAGTTGCAAATGTGAAAGGGAGAGGCTAGAAAGAATTATTTGGTGCTGGGGAGAAATGGATGGTAACAGTATGAAGAAACAGTTCTCAGCAGAAATGGAAATACAGACGTGTGTACCTGTGCCTGCACGCACACACATGCACCTTTACTTCCCAGCTCTGCCCGCGGAGAGCGCTTGGATGCGGTGACCACTCAGCAGTGCCTGCACACATCCAGCTCCCAGGTCTTGGCTTCTGCCTGCCACGCGCCAGTGAAAGCACCGACGTGTCCCTGGAGAAACGGCCGACTGCAGGGCTTGGAGAGGAGACGTGTAAGAGGACCCTGGAGTATCTTGTTATGCCAGGAGGTAAGAAAGTGTTCAAAGAAAAACAGGATCTTTCTCCTATGGACCAGATCTGGGACAATTTGTGCGACAAAATAAATGACAGTAATAACCTAACAATCTGAGTCTGTACTGATATAGACAGACAAAAAGACAGATTGAGGAGGAAATCGAATGGGGCCCGAATAGTCAGGTCAAAAGTGGAAGCCTCACACCACTCTACTTTAAGAATTTCTACACATAAAGGTACAGCATTCAAAACGGTGTGGCACGGTGAAAGGACAGACACGCAGATCGATGGAACATAACAGTGCGGACACAGACCCACATATTCATGGTCAACCGATTCGTAGGTAACAGAGGTGCAAAGTTAATTCAATGGAGGAAAAGCAACTCTTCTCAGCAACGGGTGTTTTAACAATTGCATCGCCATATGCATAAAGGAAGTGGTCCTCGATCTATACCTCACACCTTATAAAATTAAAATAGAATCTCAGATTAAAAGTAAAACCCACAAGTGTAAAATTTTTAGAAAAAACATGAAAAAAATCTTCGTGAACTTGAGTTTAGGAAAAGATTTTTCACACAGGACATGGACAAGAAACAGTATAACAGTATAATCTATAAAAGTTAAAAAAATTGTAAATTCAGCTTAATCAAAACTCTAAAGCTCTTGCTCTGCAAAAGACACTGTTAAGAGAAAATAAAAACTGAGAAAATATTTCTAAGTCACACATCTGACAAAGAACTTGTTTCCAGAGTATACAGAGAACTTCAAAAACTCAGTAATGACAATGAGAAAACAGTGGGCTGAGACCCGAACAACCACTTCACTGAAGAAGACCCGGAGAAGGCATAGAGGCGCATGAAAAGACCCTCGCCACCACCGGCCGGCAGGGGAAAGCGAATGAAAGCCGTGATGAGCAACAACACACGGCACCCGGGAGCACATTTATAGCAGGAGAAACGGCGGCGAGCCCAAGCACTGACAAACGCCAGGACAACCGAAACGCCCCTCCCCCGGAGCGCTGGAGCAACGCAAAACGGTGACGGCCCTCGGGAAAGGCCTCGAAGTTCTACGCAGGCCTACGGAACACACGGCTGACCCAACACCCCACTCTTCAGGAGCAACCGATGGAATTAACGCACGCTTACAGCGAAGCCTGCACGATTTATTATTACAGCAGCTTTATTCACAACCACCACAATCTGGGGGAAAAACACGCCGCCCTGGATGAGCAGCGCAGGTGGTCAGAGCGTCGTCCAGACGCGCTGAGGCTGTGGGCTCAATCAGGGAGCTACAACCGTCAACCAATGAATGCCTCGATGGAAAACAAATCCATGTTTCCTTCCCTCTCTCTTTCTCCCTCCCTCCCCCTCTCGCAAATCAATTTTTAAAATCTATAAAAAAGGAAAAAAATAAATGTCCTACAAAGAGTAAAGATGAACTGTGGTGCATCTATATACTGGAATAAACACTACGCAGCAATAAAAATAAACTACCGATACACGAAACAACATAGCCTCATCTCAAAAACATAATGAAAAAATCCAGTCCAGAAAAGGTTCCATGTTGTGTGAATCCATTTATGTGACATTCTGGAACAACAGACACTCCAGGGCTACGGAACAGATCAATGTTCGGAGGGTAAAAGCAGGAGGAAGCGTCAGAATAGCATGAGGTGAGTTTCTGAGGAGATGGGACTGCTCCGTATCCCAGCTGTGCTGTGTCACCCAAAAAGCCAGTCCGTTCTGCTGTATGTAAACTGAAGAATATAGATACAATGAAAACAAAGCAATGCCATTCATTTCTGGATAGATACTGATTATTTACTGAAGGTCGTAATGCTGAGGATGCTCTCTTTGTTTAAAAATCAATTACCGCCCTGGCTGGCATAGCTCAGTGGATTGAGCATGGGCTGCGAACCAAAGCATCGCAGGTTTGATTCCCAGTCAGGGCACATGCCTGGGTTGCAGGCCACGGCCCCCAGCAACCGCACATTGATGTTTCTCTCTCTTTCTCCCTCCCTACCCTCTCTAAAAATAAATAAATAAACACTAAAAAAAAATCAATTACCAAGTGTTAAAAACCTTAACAAAATACGCACTGCTGGTGGGATTGCAAACTGCTACAGCCACTACGGAAAACAGTAGGAGAGACCTCAAAAAATTAAAAATGAAGGGAGCATTTGAGATCTTGCTCCTTGGCGTATGTCATCAGATTGACTCAAATAAACTTTTATAAAAATTCAATAGCAAAAACCCTGGCTGGTGTGGCTCAGTGGACTGAGCGCTGGCCTGTGAACCAAAGGGTCGCTGGTTCAATTCCCACCAGGGCACATACCTGGGTTGTGGGCCAGGTCCCCAGTGCGGGGGTGTGAAAGGCAACCACATGCTGATGTTTCTAACCCTGTCTTTCTCCCTCCTTCCCCTTCTCTCTAAAAATAAATAAAATCTTTTTTAAAATTTCAAGAGAATAAAGAAAAATAGAGCTACCATATGACACAGCAATCCTACGTCTGGGTATTTATCCAAAGAAATCCAATACTCTAATCTGAAAAAATACATGCATCTTTATGTCCACTGAAGCATTATTTACAACAGCCAAGATTATAGAAACAACCTAAGTATCCATCAACAGATGAATAGATAAAAAAGAGAGACATCCATATACACCATGGAATCTAACTCAGTCATAAAAAAGAGTAAAATCTTACCATTGTAATATGGATGGACCTAGAGGTATTATGCTAAGTGAAATAAGGCAGTCAGAGAAAAACAAATAACATATGGTTTCACTTAAACATGGAATCTAAAGAAAAGAAATGAACAAACAAAACAGAAACAGACTCACAGACAGAGAGAACAAACTGATGGTCGCCAGATGGGAAGGGGGTTGGGGAGATGGGTGAAGAAAGCGAAGGGATTAAGAAGTACAAATTGGCGGTTACAAAACAGTCACAGGGATGTAAGGTACACCATAAAGAATATAGTCATTAATATAATAAAAGTGGTTCCAGGTGGGTACTAGACTTTTTGGGGAGATCACTCAGGAGTTTACATAAATGTCTAACCACAATG